ATGTCAAAAAAAAAATCACCACAATTCAAGGCTAAGCAATGGACTGAGGCTCTCACAAATTGTAAGATGTTTCTTTAAATTGAGTAATAGCTGGAATTAATTACATTTTTCTGATTTAAAGCCCAACACATCGTAGGATGGTTTGTTTTATGAGTACCTTCTTGGGGACAATTTGTACAAATAAAATTATTGTTTTCAAGATTTCTGCCAGATTTAAAAGTCAAACAATAGCTGAAAACTGTATAAATTAACTTGTGAAAGAAGTTTGCGTCAGTAACCATCATGTCACAATCGTGATTTTCACCTTGAAAATATTCTAGTCAAACAACTAATACTGAAAACTGCAATTCAAGCAAATATGTGCATCTTAATAACACTCCAAACCATTAAGCAAAATGAGTGTGGAAAACAGCCAACAGCTTTATACATTTAATATAATTAAAGAATCTAACAGTAAATAAATATACCATTTGTGGAAGGGGACCAACACTCAAAAAAGCTTTCCTGTAGTAATTAAATTCATCTTAAATTAAGTTGTCATAACAAATCAAACGGCATTACTTCACAGCTAATAAAGGAAAGTTTTTTACTGGAGCTCATCCAGTATTGACATTTAATTATCCACAAAAAAAAGAAAAAAAAATGCAACTGAAAAAAAGATTTTAGCATTTATATCAGGTACAACTATAAATCATGTCACACAAATAAGTGGAATGGCAACATTATTTATTTACTTGGAGCTAATCAAAATATAAAATACAGCCTGCATTTCAAACCTAAGCACTGATCTAATGGTGACCTTTTAGAAATAAATTTGCATGAACATAATAGTGCTAATAAACTTTTGTAACGCACCAACATGCAAGCAAAGAACATCCTATTTTTAACACAAGCATTGCATAATATTTTAAATGTTCTTTAAATAACTGCAAAGTTATTGTCACAAAATATCCTGTGTTTGTTTTTCTAAATAAAGTCACCAAACTGCAATATACTGCCTGGTAGTTGTTAAATCATTTTCTCATCCTGTTCTCTCTGAATAAAATTAAAAATGTTATCGCTTTAACCAATTAGCTCAAGTATTTGTCCAGTCAGACTCAAGCTACTCATCTTCAGTTGTTTTTAACTCAGAGACAATAAATGTATGTACAGAATTTGACAAGATTATTGAATAAATCCAATAAGTATCCACTAAAAATAAGACATGACGTTGATGGTGAATGAATTCATTCAAGTCTTCCGTGTTTTTAATGTCTCCATCCTACACCATATTCCTGCGGTGAAAAGCACAGATCAGAGAAAAGCTAAATTAATCGACAGAGTCATTAACGTTTGTGTGCTGGGTCTCACATGTCCACACGCAGCTTCACTGTGATCTAAAGCTGCTCAGTCAATTGTGTCTAGACAGGCCAATATTCAAATCCACTGGGGAAAGTCAGAGACATCTCTCACTAAATTTGGAGCGTCGTTTGTTACATCATTTACATTCCACAAGAAAAACTTTCGATATGTTACATGTGTAGACAAATGACTGTCTCCGGGGATGACAGAAAACAATTTTTGTTGTTTAAAAACACTGGAGCAATCAATAGCAAGATGGAAAACAACCCCCTGTTGAGAATTCATTTTTCTCTTTTTTTAAACTGAAAGCTGATTTGAGTTGACAGACTGTGAATGTGAGTGTGGGAAGTCATCTGGTGTCTGTCGTGCTGCTGCAAACTCCACCGTGTACGACAGATATTGTTTTGGGTCAAAGCCGCTATGTCCCACACTGTCAATCACATCTGCAACACTGGTACCTGCAGTACACCTTCACTGAAATCAGTAATTGTTGAGGACAATTCCTGATAGTATTTGGAGGTCATCTGCCATCTAGATCTGCAGAACATAAATAAAGTAGGAGAGTGATGGAGAAAAAGATTAAAAAGCAAAGAGAGTCGGACATAGATCTTTGGAAGAAGAACTGCCTAATCTGATAAGAAATAAACTCTTAAAACTCCCTTTTAGCATCAACTATAATATTTTACATCTTTGCAACATACATGAGAGTAATCCACTAACACTCTTCACAATCTAGAACATGTTTTGCTGTGTGGCAGAAAAGTACCAGGTCCAAACTATTTACCAAACTCCTGCTGGAACTGCGAGTCTGCTGAGCTTATTACAAACTACTTCTCAGTCCAAAGCTCCTAAGAATGGTTGTAATGAGACATAATTGTGATAATGTGCTAACGCCAAAATTTTGGAAAGAGTAGGAGCTTCTTAAAGAGACAGTGGTCCAATTTCAAAGCGTCAAATTAAGAAGTCTTATTTCTTTTAAAATATGTTTTTATATCACCTGAAGGTAACAGTTTCCTCTTTAGAGCTGCTTTTGAACCATAACAAATAGACATTGACCAACATATTTGCTGTGTATTGATCATTTTAATGAGAGGCACTTGATAAAATGCAATGTCTGTTATTGGTTTGCACAACTACATGATGTGTTTATGATCTTTTATGTTTTCATGATATGAAGCACTTTGAAATGCTGTGCTGCTGAAATGTTTTATACAAATAAACTTGATTGATGTTTTGATTCTCTTGATTGTGCTCTGAAATTGCACTACATGCCCAGGGGACACAATATATTGCTCCATTAAATTTAAATTTGGGATTTCTCGGTTTTTAATCATAAAATTATGTTTGTCCAATAAAACATTAATTTCTTTACCAGAGGTATACAAGTAGATTCAGGGCTTTAAAGCTTAATCTGCATAAACTATATTTGGTGTTCCTAACATCCTACAAAACACTACAAATCATTCGCAGCTACAAAGCGCTGTGAATGTTTAAAAAAACCTTGTTTATTTAAATATACAGCCATGAAGCTTTGCAGTAAAGGCTTTTTGTTATCAGCACCAAGCTTCACTGCCTTTACAGCAGAACACATGAATGTCAGCGCCATTAAAATATCACCAAGAAGCAATGTGTCAGCTCATATGAGAGAGGTCAAATGCACATAATGTAGGACACATGAAATCTTGATGGATCACTTTTTGTCTTGTAGCTTATCTGGAATGATGCATCAACAGAAAACTTCTAACTGCAGACCTGAGTAGAGATAGAGTGAGCTGCTTTTCAGACCCTGCCAGCGCAGTGTGTGAACCCTGTGAGATGTTCTGCACAGTCTCCATGTCCAGCAGCATCAACGCAGCATCAGTGATATATGGAAGCTAAGCAGTGTCAATCTGAGTGAAGAGGTCAGTGAACAGCATGTCAGAACGTAACAGCAGTGCTCTGTGAGTGATCGGCCGTCTGTCAGCAGTGACTGCCGAAATCAGACAGAGCTACAGAGTGACGCCTCTACAACTGAACTTCCTGGTTGGAAACTCAAATGTTTGATAAATCATAAAGGTGAAACGACTCACGGCATTCTCTGTAAAGATAAATGAACGATTTTCCTCCAGCCAGCAGTTTTCTGTAAAATATGTCACACTAATGCACCTAAATTGTACTATTAGCCATAAAAGAAATGACCTCTCCTTATGGCTTTTAAGTGTTGTCTATAAATAATGCTCTATAATTTGTCCTTTAATGTAAAATATCATGTCTGGAAGGAGGGAGACTAACCGATCCTGGATATTCAATCTAAAACATGCACCTCATTTGACCTGAAGCTGCTCTCTGCTCTTCTACAGGGTGCATATTATAGATGAAATGAAAACACAAAAAGCAAGACTATATTTAATTACTTTGTGTTTAAAGTCCATGAAATACTTATCTATGTACACCCCTTAACTTTCTGCTTTTAAGGTTTCCCAACATACTAAATAATGCAAAAGTCTAGCATAGAGCAGCTTTACGGGATAATGATGACCTATAAGGACAGTCAGGATCTTTAAAGTTGTCACAAAGATCCAGAATCAGAGCATCTGGGAAAACTTTGCAGATAGTAAATAAGTTTTCCAAGAAAAAAGGAACTTCTCTAATCCTTTAGATTATATTATACTAAATATAATAATCCGTTATATCTAGTAAAGGCTCATGGAGGAGTTTGTTTTTCTTTAAATTATAAGAAACTAGTTTACTTCTACTTATTTTTTTTTTTTTTGAAACCTCAATCAGAATCACACTTGCAACATATGAGAGAAATTAACAGGCATATGGGAAATATAAATGAACACTGCATTGATATGAATTTTTAATTTAATCATAATTTAGTTTTTTCTTCTTACTGTATAAATGTTAGGAGGTGTACTGTGTTCATGAAGCTCATGACTAAGGATAAATTGTGTAAATACCAGTAAAGACGTGTAAAAAGCCTCATAAGAAGGGTTTCACTGCTGTAAAGATGTTTCCATACATTGCTGAGAATTGTTTATTCCTTCCTACTTGTCTTTATTATAAAGATGAAAATAAAAACAAATCACAGCAACAGTATTTTTGTTGTAAATCAACAGTCGTTTTTTGTCATTTTTTCATTATATTGAGTGATGCTAATCTCATTCCCTAAAAGAAACAAACTTATTAAATATAAACTTGGAATATGAATAATATTGGGCTTAAATAGAAGAAACAAATACAAGTTTAAATGTGAACAGCTTAGTCATCGTGCTTACTTCATTATTTCCTGAAAAATAATAAGTAAAAACCATTTTGATTAGGATCTTGAAACCTATTCAGTCCATTTGAGGTTATTTCGATTGCCACTGTTTTTCCCTTTTGGTTTAAGTGTGAAGTGCTTTGACTTTTACAGATGTGCTATAGATGTAATGCGATTACTAAGGCAACACAAAAGCTGCTACTGTTTCTTTCTGCCCTTTCTCAACAAATAAGATCATCTGTCCTCATCGACGACTTCCTTTTAGAAGGTCAAGCTCGGCTAACATTTATGCATTTTGGATTCAAATATAAACAGCTCAGCTCGGAGTGCACATTATTTTATCCAAACACTGCAGGGACTGAAGCCGGTGAGCTTAAAATATTTTGACAAATGTGCAAAGCTGGAGAGTAAAGGTGAATCAAAGCATATCTAAAATGTTCATTCTTTTTCTAACACTTGCTGTGGGGCTCGAGTGAAAGGGAAATGGTGTGAGCAAATGGAAACAAGCTTGGTGCTTCTCTTTAGACCCAGTGGCTGCGTGGACAAATAGGATAATAAAACATTATCACTACACACAGCCACCTGGGCCACAGGTTTGTGAAAAAACCCTGACACTTGTTAGGGTTTCTTTTTACTTTGCAAAGAAGTGTCGTCAAGGTTCATGCAGCTCTCCAAATAAACAAGTCTGTTTTGTGTTGCAAAGCAGATACCCAGCATGCAGTGAAGTCATTGCTTGCTCTACCCTCTGGTTAAATCAGTTTTTTAATTATTTACTGCACACGTCCTTGCCTGACTTTCTCCCTCTGCTGTGCTTTGAAGAGTTTCCTTTATTTTTCAAACTCTGCTGAACAGTTGCGACGTTATGAGAGATCTACAGACCGATTTCAATCATGACCGCTCTTTGGGGGCGGTTAAAGCTGGTTTCATATTCTATATTCATAATAATTTAGATGTTATGGCTGAAAGCATCGAGACCTCTAAAACTTTGCTCTTAAGCAGAGGACACTGTTCAGATCTTGAATTAATCCTTTTCTTGGAAAATATAGAAAAAAAGCTACAATCAATTTATACCATTTATTTCTATCAGGTATTACAGACATACCTATGTTCAATTTGTGAGTTTCATATTGATAGCTGATTTACTATGTAAATTTTCAAACTTGAATTGACATTAAAATGTATTTAATAGTTTATATCAGCATTTTTCACAATCAACAAAATAAACCTGAAGAAAACATCTGGTTCAAAGCTGTCTAACAAATTGACTTTGTTTACATACAACATGTATTAAATTTAGTAAAAAAAAAATAAAAATAAAAAATAATGTCTGTACTTATGAGTATTGTCATGAGGATAAATAATATTATCATTTCTATAGTTATGTTAATGCTATAAGGTGGATGATGTCACAATAGAAACTTAAAACCCTAATTCCACAGGCATTTATCTGTTCGTATATAACATTTAAAGATTATTTCTATTTTTTTTACTTCGTTCAGTTGGATATTATGGTTACATTTGCATTTCATATCTGCAGTTTTGACCATTGTTAATTTGTTCATTTTGATCTAACAGACTGATTTATCTTATAAAACCAGATGTTATTGCCAATAGTACATATTCACAGAAGACCAACCCAGTTCAGGAATCCAACCACTGACCTAAAAATGAGAGAAGTACATCAGTGAA